CGCATCAGTAGGTTCCTCTACGATAGCGGATTCTTGTGGCGTATCATTTTCGGGGGAATCAGAATAACGCGAAGGCTGATCAGGGAGAGCAGAGACATCGGGGGACTCGAGACCGTCACTGTTGAAGGTTGCATCGCGTTGCCAGGGCCAGCTGGGAGGAGGACCAGGGCTTAAAGCATTCGAGGGTGCACCTTCAGGAGCCGGGTTTCGGGGCATGAAAAGAGGATTGAATAAAGGAGAAGCCTCTGGGCGATATGACTCGGCGAAAGAAGCATCATCAGCCTCGGGCATAGTGTTGGGCACACCAGGTGACGAAGAAGCGACAGTTACGCGCTGACCAAATCCGAGCCAATTTGAAGAACCGGAGCCGGAGCCAGACGGGGCGTCCTGGTCAAAGTTGTAATCCATTGCTAAAGTTGAAGCTGTAGATGCGTCATTGATAAGAAATTGACTTGTCGAGAAGAGAAAGACAATTGAGGCTGAATTTTGTTTTGTTGTTTACTTGATTTGCATGATGATGTATGATCCAAGCCCAAGCTCGTGTTGCGACGCGCTTCGTGAGCGCGATTAGATTAGAGTGCATCTCCACTTTTCGATGAGCGATGACATAATGGGTCTTCCCTGTCTGTTCGCGCGAGCACTTGCAGTTGATCTGATCTTGGCGCTTGGCAATTGAGCTTAGCGTTGACTTCCAATCTCTATTCACCTCAACCTCGATTCGATTGTTGATGTTTCAGTATTAAGATTTGTTTTCGAGGTTCAAGACATGGATGACAGAAGCAACATGACTCAGGCATGGATTTTGCCCAGCCTCACATTCATGCCCACACCCTGTGCACTCCATCGGGACAGTTACTCACTAACGATCCCCAGTGTGTTGATGCATGGAGCTGCCAGAAAATACGATGCGTTCAATTAAACAACAGCGCTAGAGATACCTCCCTACAACTGTATCCGCTATAAAGTTATCTCTTTACCCCCCGAACCTTGAGTTAGGCATGTGATGCAGACCCAGCTAATCCTGCACTGCCACCGCCTAAAGCCCAATCAGGGATTCATCAAACAAAGCACCCAACTACTGTCATTGAAACGGTCTGCAAGTGACGTTATATCAGCCAAATCAGGTATCGCGAGGCCTCCTCTATGATACCCTCAGGGTCCTTTACCGCCATTCCCCTGCAAGAGCTGCGGTTCCTATCGGCCGTGCTCGATGGCTACCGGATGCTACCCCGGGCAGAGAGGTTCTTCCTTAACAATACCGTGACAATGTCCCGTCCATTGTCCGCAAATTGTGGTGGCCACCTACAGCCACTGCGTTAGCCCGCCAGGTTCTATTGTCAATGCACCACTTCCGCTATTGCAGATGCCTTCACAGCTGTCATCCCGGCTCCTCGGCTTGGCAATAATTCGCTCAAACACTGCCTGCTCGCACTCTCTTCTTGCTCAAACGAGTTGGTCTGCAACCTGCTCACTCACTTTCCTCGGAAAACGGCACAGAACATCCAGACCTTACGCCCGTCCAAGTTGCAAACAGCCCTGAAACACCTTCTCACTAGGGCATCGTCTTCGGCGTATTAACGCCAAACAGACGAACATGTGGCGCCCAAATCTCAATTTTGTCAAAATACACTGTGAGTGCCGTTCTAGTGACAAGGTGCCGAAAGGATGCGGCTGACAACGCTATCTGGCGGCACGTAGACATCTACATCATCTGCATGGGTCTGTCGAGCTTCTTGTTCATCTATCCAGAAGGCAAGCTGAGTGCAATTGATGCCTATTTCTTTGGCGTTAGCGCCTCGACCGTTACCGGTTTAACTACGTGAGCCACTTTCTACAATACTTGTGGGCTTCAACGGTGCTAACCGTTTTCACTACAGAGTCGATGTTCCTGTGCTGAAGACGTACCAGCAGCTGTTTCTGTATTTCGTACCGCTGGTTTGCAATCTTGTGACAATCAATATCATAGTTGTGGTCGTTCGTCTTATCTGGTTCCGAAGATACCTCAAGAATGCTGGTCAGTTCGTTCTCGCCTGTACTTGGCGGCCACTGCTGACATTTCGCAATATAGCTCCTGCTCTGCTCAGCAGACGCAGACCAGTGGATCTAGATCCTAAGGAGGATCCAGAGAACGTTGCTGATAATCCTCTTTCGGAAGTGTTTGACAAAAGACCGGGACTTGCACGATCTGTCACGGAACGCGTTCATAAGAATGTCGCGGAGCGAGATGCACTCCCGCCAATCGAGGCTCGTAGTCGGACTGATCCAGCTCCTGATCACCAAACCCAACAACGGCCGGTAGACATTCTTTCACCCACAATTAAGGAAGAGACGGCGAAAGAGGGAGACCAGCACGAAACGAGAATCACTTTTGATCCTTCGACTGATCACCATCCTCGCCATGAGCAGCAGGAGTCGACTCTCTACATCCCCGGTCCTCGCGCTCGAGACCAAGGTACACCAACTACTTGCTCCTTTTCTTGAGCCAACTGACGTATCCAGGCCTTCCTTTCGTCGAGTTAAATAACGGACGACGGTTCAGCCGAGACACTAGAGATGGTACGATCCCTGTCTGTTGCTACATGTATTGCATGTGACGTGAGCTAAGCCCTCCTTCTAGAAGATGTCATTGAACCTATTTCGCGAACTCAGTCCACCCCCGTTGGTACTCTTCGCCGTAGACGTAGCGCTGGCCTTAGTCTGGCTCAAGTCCGCTCCGTCGAGCGCGTCGCTACTGTAGCTTCGTCACTCTTTGTTATTGGCAATCCTGCTCAAGCGCCTAAGGAGCGTCCGCTGGCCAGGGCACCAACACTTGCCGTGGGCGACTTTCCACGTCTGTCTCGCGAGGTTACCATAGGGCGTAACTCCATCTTCCACAACTTGTCGTCTAAGGACCGCGAAGAACTGGGTGGTATCGAGTACAAAAGCCTGAAGCTCCTGCTCAAGATAATCATTGGTAATTCTTCGAGTGGTTGGCTGGGGACAACCTGCTGATGTCTACAGGCTACTATGTCTTTCTCCACTGCCTCGGGGCTGTCTGCTTGATAGCATGGGTTCAAAATGCTCCTCAGAAGTACGTTGAGTACATCGACAAGTGCGGGCAAAATCGGATTTGGTGGTGAGTTTCCTCCTGAGTCATGACCTCTGGCCCTTCTCACCTTTTATGCAGGGCAGTCTACTCTTCTCAAACCATGATCACCAACTTGGGTTTTACCTTGACTCCCGATTCAATGATTTCTTTCAATGACGCTCCAGCTCCCCTGCTCATCATGAGCGCCCTCGCCCTTGCTGGTCACACCTTTTACCCTGTTCTCCTCCGGCTTGTCATTTGGGCTACCTCCAAGGCCGTCTCGAAGCAGTCATCCCTTCAAGAGCCGCTACACTTTCTTCTCAATCACCCACGGCGGTGTTATACCCTACTTTTCCCCAGTGGACCAACCTGGGCGCTTTTTGGCATTCTCGCCCTCCTTAATCTCGTTGATGTTCTGTTCATCATACTCCTGGACTTGGACAACTCGACTGTGACGGTACTTCCTGGGTGGCAGAGGTTCTGCGCCGCTGTGTTTCAGGCCGTTAGTTCTCGACACACTGGTACAGCCAGTTTTAACCTTGCCAATGTTAACCCAGCTGTGCAAATGGCTTTGCTCATCATGATGTACATCTCCGTGTACCCCATCTCAATCGTCGTTCGTTCTTCAAACACCTATGAGGAACGCTCTTTGGGCGTTTACGAGCATAGTCTGCAATATGATGAGGAAGATGGTGGCTCATATTTTGTTACCCATCTCCGGAACCAGCTGAGTTTCGATTTGTGGTATATCTGTCTTGGGCTTTTATGTATCTCTATTGCTGAGCACAAGAAGATCATGGACGGCAATGATCCGGTGAGTATGGCTCCACCAGGCATTGGATACAACGCTCACCATAATAGGCATTTACAATGTGGCCGATGTTGTTTGAGGGCGTTTCAGCATAGTAAGGGTGCCCCCTTTCATCATCGTCGCCGAAGCTAACCGTGACATAGCTGTAATGTCGGCTTGAGTTTAGGATATCCTACCATCAACTCGTCTTTTTGCACCGAGTTTACGACATTTAGTAAACTCATCATCTGCGCTATGATGATTCGTGGGCGCCATCGTGGACTTCCCTATGCATTGGACCGAGCTATTGTCTTGCCAACAGAGAAGTCATTGGGCGCTGAGACTATCACCCAGCCTCGCGAGTCGCATGAATCCCACGAGCATCGCGAGTGATTTGGACAACACAAGGTTTCTTCTTGATCATACACGATACCGGTTGGATGAGATCACGGCCTTTTCCCTTCTTCCCTTTTTTTCTTTTCGTCGTTCATTTTGTCTTTCGTTGGCAGCATAGCGACGTCAGAGTTACGCTTAGAGGTATCCGGTGGGTAGATTGGGAGATCTGCAAGACTTTGAACGGCGCATTAGATGCGTCTTCGCCTTCCTGAGCTGTGGCTCGAGAACTCTTTTTTCACAATAGAGCAGAGGTATTGTCCCCAGATTTTCTATTATAGACAGGCCCGGCGCTCTGGATTATCAGCATTTAGGGATATAAGATAACTTAGCAAGACAAGCCAGAATCCTCAAATAGAGTTTTTTTGTTCTACCTTTTCTCATTGTGCGTGTGTTCTGTGACTCGTTGCTCGACATGGCAGTGGATTTCGAATAACTCAGCCAATTCTCTACCGAGTCCTTAATGGACAGACTGCAAAGCTTGATCCAATTCGCCCTTCCATCATTGAACACTGATATGCTGAACTTTATTGTGAAACTTTCCCCTCTAACACTTTTACCTTCAAGCTCCAAGCGAGTTTAAAATCTCGTGCCTCTTTCTTCTTTCTGAGCAGTCATCTCACGACACATAAACCTCCTTTGCAATCGCGCTGGAAGCCCGAACTCATCTACATCATCCCTTACAACGGATTTTGGCCACTCCACTGTCGAGCCTCCCCAATCTTCTTAAGAACTTATACACAACTAATCATGGGTCTCTGTCTTTTCCCCTTCGGTGGGCTTGTTAGCTGCGTACAGACATTCCTTGGCGTCTCAACTGCGGTGTGCGTATAACCCCCTGACTTGGTATTATTCCACAAGCTAACAATATTTTGCAGGTCATGCTGCATTTTCACCTTAGGCGGCGGGCTTCAAACTCCATTCAATTCCGATGCAGAGGATTCAAGGCTCTGTGATGAGAAATCTCAATATGCCATACTTTGGTCATATGATGATGAGCCTGAGGTTTAAATCATGCAACATGGAACTCTCTCAACAGCCATGGGCTCGCGGCCTCTGGGGCAGGTGTTTTCTGCTGTATGCAATTTCTATCGTTGAGATTTCTTGTTCTTTCAAGTCTACTCTTGAAGGGAGTTGTATAAGTTCAAGGAGTGCAGTGGATGGAGAAGTCGGGGGCCGTTGGGCGCAATAACCTGGTTTTCAGACCAAACTTGGGAGAAGTCTGTATGCAAGACAGGCTTGCAGCTTGAGTGTTGGAATAGATGACTTGCAGGCTCTTAATGGAAGATTGTCGTTTTGTCAGCTTTATTTCCTTAGAAAAGACTCGCTTCAGAATTTTTCATCAGCTACGTCGTCCATCTCCAGCTGCAAAGCATACTTCAACCACCACCAGCCAACCAAAGCCTCATCTCTTTGCTTCTTTGCAGTCCAGAACTTCTTTTCCATTCAGTCTTCGTGCTTCAGCAAATACTCTGGGATGTATTTGTTGACCCGACCGAGAGCAGAGTCATGGCGTCTGCTGGTTGCCGCGTAATACCCTCAGCAAGCCTACAATAAAAAACCGACATACCTAATGCATCCTGCACCGAAACTCTGTGCTTGATAGAGATCAAAATTGAAGATCTAATCAAGTCCCGCTGCACCACTGAGCGCCCATGTATCATTTGTGTAGAAGTGTGATGGACGACGTGTTTGACCCCTGAGTTTCTTCCACCTGTCCCAGCTCAAGCTTCGTAATGCCACATAATACGTGACCTACAATGTCGGAATCAGGGCTTAGACTCGCTCATTCCCAGATCTGATGCCTCTTTGACTCGAAACTGGAAGTAGCTAGGCACTAACCATACCTACCTTACTACCAGATGCCATTGGGATTGGTGCAGTAGCCGAATTATAGCGGAAGGGGGTATCGTTGTAAGCGCATTTAATAAAGCATGTGCCGAACCGAATCCTCAAATTTGTAAGAACTCTCATTAGCAAAGTCCCGTATCCTTTTCTTTTTGCTTTCGATCATTCCCTATCTATCTTAGTGTGAGATCCAATGTCCGATGCTTTCAAACGCTTCAGAACTCAGGAGCTGCTCCGAGGGCCGTGGTTGCAACTCCCCAATGGATTCTAGGCATTAGAGGAGGCAGAGTGCTCAACTCCTTCCGAACTCATCGTCGCGGCTGACGCAACTCGTTGCTGGCCCCTTCCATCGTTGTCGTACTGGGAGTCAAACAACTTCAAGTCGGACGCCTTGGTAAACAACTTGAACCTCTACACACATCTCTCAATCCATTCTATCATTTACAACCCACCCATTTCCATCGGCGTATCAACGTTATTCAATATACCGCCCTCTCAGCATCACATCATCACCCTCCCTCTTCAACATGAAGCTCATAAACATTATTCCCATCTGCCTGTTCCTGTACTGCACACACGCTACAGTTCTGCCCAAAGATGACGCTCCTGGTCTTTCCAGAGACGTCCAGGATATCTCTCCCAAGAATCGCATCAAATGGACCCGGTGCAATCTGGGCATTCCTGAATACAAGGAATTAGAAAAGAACAAGGCAATCGAGTGCGGTACTCTAACTGTTCCTCTCGACTATACCAAAAAACACAGCACAAACACTACGACATTGAATTTGATCAAGCTCAAAGCGACCGGGAAACCGCCCAAGAGCAGCATCATCATGAACTTTGGTGGTCCAGGTGCTTCCGGAGTCGAATTTTTGTTGGGGATCTCTCCGCTCCTTTCCAATTTCATAGAAACCGGACTCTACGACATTATCAGTTTTGATCCACGGTAAGTGGCACCCCAGCTATTTCAAGTTAGTTTAAGTCAAATCTAACCTCGAACTAGGGGTACTGGAAAGACATTGGTCCCGCCTGATGGTGAAGGATTTCCGTTACAAATGTTCGAAGAGCTCTCATACACCGCTCAGAATTCAGCAGATTTCTTCGCCGATAAGTCACTCAGCGATGCTTGGGATTATATGAGCACCTTCACTGAAATCTTTCTTACGAAGGACACGGATCTTGGGAGGTTCCGTGGCACTGCATTCGTCGCCAGAGATATCGCTGAAATTGCCACAGCACTGGGTGAAGGTAACCGCATCAACTACTGGGGTATTTCGTACGGCACGGTCCTAGGCCAGGTTCTGGCTGGTATGTTTCCTGAACGAATTGAACGCATGCTTCTCGATGGCAATCTCCTCGTCGACGACTATGTTAAGAACCTCGGGGTCGATAGTACCCAAGATGCCGAGAAGGCCTTGTATCATTTCTACGACGAGTGCATGGCAGCCCCAAATGATACATGTCACTCGGCTACCAAGCTTCCCAAAGAACGAGATGATTTCATCAAGGTTCTCGATCGTGTCTTCATGGTTTGCACAGGAGTTGGGGCCGGTTTAGGCCGCATTAAATCACTCTCCATGAATTTGTGGCTTTTCGCATCTCTCTACCATCTCGAGGGTTACCTCAAGCTGGATGACCTGATTGATAGCGCTTTGGAAGGCAATCGTTCGAATTGCCCCCAGGGAAAGAATCCCTTTGCAGAGTTGACAACTCCATGGAACCCCCAGCCCGAACTTGCCCATCTAGCGATCTGGTGCAGTGACGTAACTTTCCGCGCTGAAACTGTTGAAGAATTTATCGACTTTTTCGATTTGTACGAAGGCAATCGGGCCCTTGATGACCGCTTCTTCCTCACGACCCTGCTTCTTCGTTCGGTGTGTTCTCGGTGGAGCATACACGCAGCTGAGCCGATAAATCTTACAAGCCTTTCAAGAGTCAAGACAAAGAACCCAATCCTTATCGTCAACGGTGAATACGATCCCGTGACTCCCTTGAGTCATGCCCGGAATATATCTGCCCGATTTCCTGGAAGCCAGGTTGTTGTTCACAAAGGTTCTGGTGTTAGTATAATACCATGTCTTGAATTGATGGTGATACTGACAGAAACTCATAGCATGGCCTCCTCAACCATTTTTCGTTTTGCACTATAGGGATTGTATTCAATTATTTCATCAGTGGAGAGTTGCCTCTCGAAGAGACCACCTGCGAGCCATACCAAAATGCCTTTGAGATCGTCGAATCGCTGCGGGGGTTAGAGGGAAAGGCGAAAATTCATAAAACTCCAATCTTCGTATAGGTAGTGCTGGGTTTCTTGGGTTTTGTCTGCTTGTGTTTGGTTTTTTTGTTGTGTAAGCCGAAATGAAAGAAGGCTCTGGGCTGATATAAACTAGCACAACAGTATTAAAAGTATACAATTATCACTTCTTACAGGCTTATTCCTTAGATGTTTCTGCGAAAAGAAAAGCTGACTAGTTGCTACTCATAGCTCAACTCGACTGTGTTGTGATGATGAAGTAAGTACAATGGGGATACTAGTGCTAACAAGAAGCGGTTGAGAGTCCAAATTAATGCTTGTTTCAATATTGCCTCCGCTGTGGTGTCTTATCCTACGATTCATCAACAGGCCTCGATAGCTATCAGCTGTCCTTATTGATGCTCCTCCAATACGAAGTTGAGGATCACATCTCAGCTATTGTAGGGTAGGCAGGGGTTCAGTAGCTCTAACTTAGCGTGTTGTTGATAGATCGCCTAGATGGCCAAATTCTAGAAGGATTAAACTTTGCAAAATTCCAATTAAATGGAGTCCCAACCCACTCCCTCAACCACGCCATAGATCAAAAGAGCAATCACATCCGCAACCATGAAGAATATTGCCGGTATCCGTATCTGACTGTCCGAAGCCCCCCCAGTCAATCTCAGATTGCACCATTGGCTCAAGTGATGGCGTCGATAAGACATTTCTTGCCTCGCGAAGGGGCGAGGCAAAAAACCGAGGCACCTCCTTTCTGAGTGACGAAAAGATTTAGGCAAGTTTGATATGTCTTTGCAAGCTGTCAGGCAGGTTTATTTTGGTACCCTTGTCCAATATCTGGAGTTTTCTTGCTCCCCGAGCTCGTAAATAGAAGACTTCTCTCCGCCAAGACCACGATCAATCCTTATCAAATATCCTCATCACCAACCAGTTCGGGAGGCGTCAAGATGAGCGCCGACATTCTCGCTGCTGGTGGAAAGGCAAGCCCGTCAATGGGCGTGGAGACGAGGAACGACAACAATGGCGATCTTGTGACGGCCACCGAGGAGCAGAGCCTCCAGCGCGGTCTGCACGAGAGGCATCTTTCTATGCTGGGTATCGCTGGCGCTATTGGAACGGGTCTCTTTCTCGGTCTGGGCCAGTCTGTTCAGACCGGTGGTCCTCTCGGCGCGCTGCTTGGCTATGCGACTGTTGGTCTCGTTGTGTGCGCCGTGCAATTCGCCTTGGGAGAGGTCGCTGCGTTGCTGCCGGTCACAGGAGCTTTTGTGCGACATGCTGAATTTCTCGTCGATCCTGCCTGGGGGTTCGCAATTGGATGGAACCTGGTCTATGGCAACATTCTGTCCATCCCTTCAGAAATCACGGCCATCTGTGTGTTGTTCGAGTTCTGGACCGATATCAATCCCTCGCTTTGGATCATGATCTTCATCGTCCTCACCACAGTCGTCGGTCTCTGTTTTGTCCGGGTTTTCGGCGAGGTTGAGTTCTGGTTCGCCCTTCTCAAAATCCTCTTAGTCGTTTTCCTCATCATCTTAGGGTTGGTCATCAACTTGGGAGGTGTCCCAGGGACAGAGCGAATTGGCTTCAGATACTGGAAGGACCCAGGACCGTTTGTTGAATACATCGCTTCGGGGAGCTGGGGCCAGTTCCTTGGTTATTGGTCTGTCATGACCAGCGCCGTCTTCTCCTTTGCAGGCGTGGAATCTATCGCCATGGCCGCAGCTGAAACGCGGAATCCTGCGCGTGCGATCCCCAAGGCCTGCAAGAACGTTTTCATCCGAATTCTGGTATTTTATATCTTGGCCATCCTCATTGTTGGCATGCTTGTGAGAAGCGACGACGAGAGACTAAACGACCAGCCCGGAGCCGCAGGCCAAAGCCCCTTTGTCATCGCAGCCTCCGCGGCCGGCATCCCTGCGATTCCCTCCGTCGTCAACGCCGTTGTCATAACTTCCGCGTGGTCGGCTTCCAACCAGAGTCTTCTCGCTGGCACGCGTGTTCTCTATGGCCTGGCACTCAAGCGACAGGCCCCTCAGATATTCCTCCGCACGACTGCGTGGGGTGTACCTTACGTCTGCGTGCTCTTCTTCACTTGCTTCATGTTCCTCAGCTTCATGAGTCTCTCCAATGGAGCTATGACCGTTTTCTGGTGGCTGGTCGACCTGACAGCGGCGGGAGTCCTGGTTTCCTGGGCGTCAATCTTGTTGAACCACATTCGTCTGCGCCTTGCGATGAAAAAGCAAGGAATTCCCATCGAAAAACTACCCTGGCACAACTCTTGGACTTGTAAGTGGGAGCCTAAAGTAATAAAAGCCTATCTAACAACAGAGTAGTCTACTCTTCGTGCGCCGGCTTGTTCATGACTTTGCTCATCCTCCTCACGGGCGGTTTCCGTGTCTTTACCAGGGGTAATTGGGATCCCGTTGGCTTTGTATCATCTTATTTGTAAGTGGTCCTGGTATCAGAGATCAAATCAGTTCTCATACTAATCGCTCTGTAGGGATATTCCTCTTGTTACCGCAGCGTACTTGATTTGGAAGTTTGTCAAGAAGACAAAGGTCGTGCCGTTAGCAGAGATACCCCTCCAGGATGCTTTCAGGAAATCGGAGGAGGACCACGAAGTGGTGACCGCTTAGATATAGGGGCCGCAGGGAGGCCGGGAGAAAGAGACTTCTGGCGTCAAACTGAGGTGCCAGAAGTTCCTGATCTAGGGCCATCTAGGGTCATTTAAATATGTACTAAACTATATAAGTTACACCGGTTTTACATAAGTCTTCTCGTCACTTAGGATAGAAGCTCTGAGTTAACTTGCCCGCCCTTGAGGGGGTAATACTAGCGTATCATCTTGAATTATCAAGTCTTGAAGACAGTAACGGGCATATAATTGCCCTTGGTTGCTCTTGAAGTTCCAGAGCGTGGGGCTCTCAACACGCTTTCCGAGCTGGTACCATTTCGATCTGGACACTGATGATGCGGTTGCTGTCAATTCTCCATCACTGTTCAGTTTTATATTCTTATTGTCGCATGTGTTTTGAGAATGCAGCTGCTGGCTCCGGCACTGTGGCCCTGGAGATAAATTCGTGTCGAGTGTAATGCCTGTGAAAGGGGACCAAGGTCGCATTGGGAACGCTTTCATACTGAACTACACCCAAGAAGAGTCTCAAAAGACAAGTCATGGCTGTCCAATTTTTATCTCTGTTCCTACCTAAAAATATCTTTCTTTGCTCAACCGCAAGTATTAGTCCCGATAGCCATCCTTGCGTCGAGCTCTTCCTTGATGTGCAGCCAGGAGACTATTGTCCATGATGTGAGTCGCAATCCCCCTGTAAATCCAGGCTTACACGATTGTCTGAGTGTAATTCTTAGACTATTTACCGAATTCCGTGAGCCTTATGGGGGATGGCTTGCGCGTGATGCTCAAGTTGCAATCCTCTTCCCTGAAGCTCTTACGACACTCGTTGATATCACCACAATCAAAGTCCAAAAGGCATGCATTATTCTATTTACTAATGTTTGATGAATCATAATTTTACTTGCAACTCATTCCTTGTTCATTAAGTGGCTATGAACGATTTTGTACGCTCCTGACCAATGTGTCTCAGACCCTCGTGGACATGTAATACTCTGGCATTGCTTCGGGGGAGACTCAAAACCTGCATGATAGCCGTGATTTCTATATTCTTGAGTACTAGAAACTACGTATGGACCTGTTTTCTGGGTGCACCTAGCAGGTCAACTCTTATCGAGGAGTTACGTGGTTGTGGCCTCATTCAGGGGAGCCGCTCAGCATATACAATGGAGGGCTCTCCAGCAGCAAACGTTGTGAACGTACACCTAAGTGTCAACGATAACTAGTCGAAGCTATACTTAAGTCTATACTAAACTTACCATAGCCGTCCTAAGTTGTCTTGCTTCCCCTTAGGGGGGTATACAGGATCTCAATTCTCCAAAAAGACCTTTCAAGCTACACACGATTGAGACTTGGCGTACATGACAATGATTGAGGCTATGCAAATCTTGGGTTCATGTCGTACGACGGCTTCTTCCATGAGCTGAATGTCTGGGAATAGCTTCACACCTCTCTAACGCCTCAGTGTATACTCCTTCAGGAAGCCAAGATTCACTCGGCCAAATGTACGGACATAGACTCGAAGAAACGTATGATCTGGTCGTTGGACATGTCTATCAAGACAAAGAGAACGGCATTTCCCAGCTCGGTCTGCCGGAACGCTCGAAGAATGTCACTCGGAAGCATACTTCCCTCCCAACCGCAGACGTCTTTCATCAGCCTCCTTTGCACTGTTCTCTTCACGATATTCTTAGAACGGGCTGATTTCTAATGGCACCAACCTCCAGTTATACTTCCAATTCCCCAGCTATTCCCGCGCCCGGGAAAGCCAACTCAACCGCCACTGACGAACATCCCCTCCCCCGCAACCCTCTCCAACCACAAAACACCAAATTAAGGGGATATTCTAACTTCGTTTCACTTCTCACGAGAGTTCAGTGGCTCAGATCGAAACCCTCCAGCCGCTGTCTCTTCAATGCAGGTGGGTTACAACGCGCATAACACGAACCGTCGAACTCTACCAAGAATATCGCGTGAAACACGGCTAACATGGTCCGAACGCCCCATGTAACAATGACACGATACAGCTCACATGTACAACTTCAGCCACAGGTTTTAATGTTGTTTTCTTTTCAGCTTTTGCAAATCCCCAAGCATAGCCTCAAAGAAGGTTAACTTATTAATTAGAGGGCCATGGCGATCAATGGCTTGACTCGCGGGCTATGGGCAAACGTGACACGTTCCCCCTCGCCTTGGAAACTATCGAGCGATGATAGTGTCCGTAAGCCCAGGTTTACTACGCTGTTTCTGGTTTGACAACATCTGTGCGATGAGGCCGAGAACAAGATCCGCCGGCGGGTTGGCTTACATGCCATGAGTCGTACAGCGTGGATGAGGAAATTATGATGATCGCGGGTTGGGCTGGGCTGCGGCTAAGGCTTAATGTTATCCTGTAGGCCAAGGGAGGCTTTGGGTT